GATGTCCTCTTTGGAGAAATGTCTGTTCATACCTTCTGCCTATTTCGTCAAAAAGGAGAACTGCAGGCCAATATCATTGATGAATACAGATGTAAAAATCCTCAACAAGATACTTGCAAATGTAATTCAACAGGACATAAAAAGAATTATCCACCAAGATCAAGTGGGATTCATTCCTTGGTTACAGGGCTGGTTCAACATTCGGAAATCAATCAGTGTGATACATCACATCAACAACAACAAAAAAAAGATAAAAACCATATGATCCTGTCGATAGATGCAGAAAAAGCATTTGACAAAATACAGCATCCCTTCTTCATAAAGACTCTAGAGAAAGTTAGGATAGAAAGAAACTACTTAAACATCATAAAAGCCATCTATGACAAGCCTTCAGCTAACATCATCCTCAGTGGGGAAAAACTGAGAGCTTTCGCCCTGAGATCAAGAACACGACAGGGATGTCCACACTCACCACTGTTGCTTAACATAGTGATGGAAATCCTAGCATCAGCCATCAGACAACGAAAAGAAATAAAAGGCATCAGAATTGGCAAACAAGAAGTCAAACTTTCAGTTTTTGTAGACGACGTCATGCTCTACATAGAAAACCCGACAGACTCCACCAGAAGTCTACTAGAACTGTTCGAAAATTTCAACTAAGTTGCAGGGTACAAAATCAATGTATAGAAATCCACCAACAATGAAGCAACAGAAAGAGAAATCAAGAAACTGATCCCATTCACAATTGCACAAAAAAACCACAAAATACCTAGGAATAAACCTAACAAAGGATATAAGAGATATATATGATGAAAACTATGGAAAACTTATGAAGGAAATTGAAGAAGACACAAAGAAATGGAAAAACATTCCATGCACATGGATAAGAAGAATAAATATAGTTAAAAAGTCATTATTACCCAAAGCAATCTACACATTCAATGCAATCCCAATCAAAATTGCACCAGCATACTTCTCAAAACTAGAACAAACTATCCTCAAATTTGTATGGAAGCACAAAAGACCACGAATAGCTAAAGTAATACTGAAGAAGAAAACTAAAACGGGAGGCATCACCACCTCAGACTTTAGTCTCTACTACAAAGCTGTCATCATCAAGACAGTATGGTATTGGCACAAAAACAGACACATAGACAAATGGAATAGAAGAGAGAACTCAGAATTGGACTCACAAATGTATGGGCAACTAATCTTTGACAAAGTGGGGAAGAGCATCTAATGGAAAAAAGACAGCCTCTGTAACAGATGGTGCAGGCAGAACCTAAGTGTCCACCAACTGACGAATGGATCAAGAAGATGTGGTTTATCTATACCATGGAATACTATATGGCAATGAGAACGAATTAATCTGGCCATGTGTAGCAACATGGATGGAACTTGAGGCTGTTATGCTGAGCAAAATAAGTCAGGCAGAAAGGGACAGGTACCCTATGTTTGCACATATAGGTGGATTAGGAGGAACTTAACCGAGGACAATGGGGGAGATGAAGGAAAAAATAGTTGGGAAGTGGAAGGGAGGCGAACCATGAGAGAGTTTTGAATGCTGAGAACAAACAGGGCTGATGGCGATGGGGGAGAGGGGAAGGGGAGTGATGGGCATGGAGGAGGGCACTTGTGGGGATGAGCATTCAACTTGACAATAGATTATTTAAGATAAAATAAAACAAAATATGGTATCAGTTAAGCAACTAATTACAATAAATTCTGTAAGTACAAAATTTAAAATATATATTCTTTAGATATATGTGTCTACATTGATTTTCAAAAGAGGAGTCATATCAAGGTTGCTGGGGGAAAAAGTGCATTAAAATTAGACAATGTATCCACTATTTTGTATAATGTATAAGTACATTTCTAAAAGTATCCACTGTACAAATGCCTTACAGTGACACAACTGACCACAGCCTGCTCACTATGCACAACAAAACTGGAGGCTAGAGTTGCAAAAACTGAATTAAGTGAAAAATACCCGAAGTCGACTGTTGTTGGTGAGAATTTAGTGGTGACGCAGGTAAATGAGAGAGACTGCGAGAGTCTGTACACCTGAGACTCCTTCTCCAGGTTCATCTGGGTGAGTCCACACAACCTGAGCACAGTCACAAGGAAGCAGGTGTGTTAGATCAGTAACTGATCTTACCCAACCGCGAATGTCTGAGATACACACACATAGAATGACTGACAACAGGGGCGCCTGGGTGGCTTAGTCGGTTAAGCGTCCGACTTTCGCTTAGGTCATGATCTCACGGTTCGTGGGTTCGAGCCCCGCGTCGGGCTCTGTGCTGACTGCCAGCTCAGAGCTTGGAGCCTGTTTCAGTCTGTGACTCCCTCTCTCTCTGACCCTCCCCTGCTCATGCTGTCTCTCTCTCTCTCCTAGAAATAAATAAAAAACATTAAAAAAAATTAAAAAAAAAAAAGAATGACTGACAACAGATGAAGAACCCAAATTGGATGTGCTTCTCTTGAGAACGACCCTCCCAAAGAGCTTCATGCTCAGGGTGGCGGTGGTCCTGACCTCCTGTATCCACGGGGCACAATTTCACCAAAGGGACGGAGTCATGACATCAGATGCACACACCTGGGATGTCACGAAAATGTAAGGACGCCGAGAGTAGAAGGGTATTTCCTGTGTCTCCTCTGAGGTTGGGGTCGGTGCTGGTTTCATGCAGGACACCACATTCGCGGTCCATCAGAGCCTCACGTCCCTCATGGCACCGCACCCCGCTTCCTGGACAGAGAGGAAGTAGGAAGGCACAGAAAGAAACGCACAGGATTTATCCAGGTTTGTGTTGTAAACACATTCTTGTCCCGTATTGAACAATGTCCTGTTTTACTGTTACATGTTATTAGGCAGTTCTTGTGTGTGAATTGATGAGGGTGAAGTGTGATATATTCCATGTCAACATCTCAAGTAGTGCATACGAGGTTGTGCTCCAAGAGAGCAGGGAAGGTATTGTAGGAGAAATGACACTGACCATCTCTCAGAGCAGAAGATGGGTCACTGTGTGTGTGGAGTTTGTGGAAAATACCTCCTAAGGAATCAAGATACGGATACACAAGGACAGTGAGTATCATCATCTATGAAACAAGGGACATTGTACTGTGAGTGCATTCGGGACCCTGGGAAGGAGATATTGTCCTGGAGTTTGCATGGACATGAATTGAATCACACCACCCTTATGAGAGCAAGGCAGAGGGACATTCATTTTTCCACAAGGAAAAACCACCTGATGTTTGCGGTAAAATTCTCACTGCTGGATTCTGAGGGAATAACATACCATGACCAGAAATTCAAGATGTGTAATTGAGCCTCAGGACACACAGCTCTGATGATATTTTGTGTCAGATCCAGTTTAACTAATTTAACACACTTCTGAAATGATGAAGCCCATGAAAGTTTCATACTTTCCTATTTCTCTCCCTCCCCCCCACCCCAATGTGTGTGTGTGTGTGTTTAAACTTCAGGTTCCGCATCCAACCGTGCCTTGGTGGGGGTCCATGTGGTTTCCCATGCCTTCAACCAATATTGGTACAGTGAACATGCTTCCCACAATGAGCCCACCAGGAGTCTGTCTTCTCTAGATGAAGATATTCGGCGCCTCTGCAGCTTCGTGTCCACTATGCACTGTATGCGGCTTCTAGCAAGCTTGCACACTGAGCTGGGCGGGCGTGAAAGAATCAGTGAGTGCAACAGGGAAACTCGTAATGTTCCATTTGGTGTTCTTCAAGATATCTGTAAATAATTCATTTCTAGTGGCAAGGATTAATCTAGTGCCAACACCTCTGTCTTCTGTGCATGTTCGTATACGTTTCATATTCCAAGTATGTCATTCAGAGACTGAAAGTTAAGCACAAAATCATGTGTCCGTAAGGGCTCCCCGGGGGAAACTACTCTATGGGGAGGAAGCCCCAGACCCTGACAGGAAACCTGCCTGTAACCTCCATCACTCCCTGCTCCTGGGAATATAAACCAGAGTTGTGCATCGTGTGCACCCCCTGGTGGTGCTGATCCCCTTCTCCAGGGAGGTTTGTGTCTGGGCTCACCCTGATGACTCCTCACTGTGTCTCTCGCACAGAAATACGTGGCCGTGTCTTCGACTCTCAGGTTGTTCATCTGTAGATCCACTGTGTTCTTGGCGTTGTCTATGGAGATGGTGAATCGGCCCTTCACGGAGTCTGCGTAGCTTGTGCTACTTCCACTACTATAAATGAATGCAACCCACTCCAGCCCCTTCCCTGGAGCCTGGCGGACCCAGCTCATGGCATAATTACTGAAGGTGAATCCGGAGGCTGCACAGGAGAGTCTCAGGGACCCTCCAGGCTTCACCAGGCCTCCCCCAGACTCCACCAGCTGCACCTCACACTGGACACCTGTAGACACAAGACATCCTGGTCAGGAACCTGTCACACATCTAGTGTTTCTCTCACTCGTATCCATTCACACACTCAGTGTCTCTGTTTGCCATGAATTACCTTTTAAAACAGCAAGAAGGAAAACCCAGCCAAGCACAAAGTCCATGGTGAGATGTCTGTGTTCTGTCCTGATCACAGAATGGGAACACCTGAGACTCCAGGAATGGAGCTCCTCTCCCAGCTGCAGGGTCAGGGCTGCGCTGGTTTAATAAGCACAGGGAGGGTCTGATTTGCATGTCATCTGCGTATATAAGCAGCTATGTATTCAGTCGTTACAAAGAGGGCAGTGACCTGAGCAGATGTAAATCTCTTTAATTTGGTGTTTAGACAGCTTTTGGAAAAATGACATTAGTTACTATCATTTTCGAAAGATCACACTTTTGCTCCATGAGAATTTGGTTTTACATTTGCACACGACTCGTGGGGTATAGGTGTCATCATATCCTATAAGGAGATGTGAACCTACAACCAAGTTGTAGAGGGTGGTGGGGTGTCCAAGTGCACGTATGTGGTGAGAGTGAGCCCAGGATCTGGGCCGGTGCTCCTCCCTACAGGACCTACGACCTCCCTCAGTCCACCTGCAGGGCTGAGCGGGCGGGCTCCTGAGGAATGTGGAGCACTTTCTGTAATGGGTCCATGATGATTTTGCTTGCTCTGGAGTTGACCTTAAATAGAGAGGGAATCAGGGTCAGTGCAGGTGTCTTTTTAAGTCTTTAACATGTCACTATCATTGTGTTCCTACTGAGTAGTCTCTGTGTTTGTTTGTAAGAGCTTTGATGAATGTACCTGACATAGAGTGAGGTGCACATGCCGATGTGTGATATGATAGAACACTGATTCGAGAATCAACATATCGGACTGAACACATAATTCCCATTAAAATCTCTTTAATGTTCCCTTGGAATTCTTCCTTCCTAGTTCCTTACTTCACCATGTCCCCACGGATCTGTTAATCTTTCTCATGTTTCTTCAGATTAGTTTCGCTTTAGAGAGTGTGTTCATATGATATGAACTCTTATTTGTAGGTCTTATTCTGCTCAGCATAAACTCTTGTCAATACAACCATGTTGCTGGTTGTATCAGCAGTCATTGGATTTAATGGTTGGCGGCTTTGCAAGCATTAATGTCACCAAGTGTTATGTCTTAAGTGGCTTTCTTTTATCAGAATCACTGCCAGTGTCTAATGTTGCAAAAATTTTTCTTCTCAGCCTTGAGACATAGATGTGATGTTTAGAGAATGTGTGATTTATGTGATTTCCACAACAACCCACCTGAAGCAGAGGCAGATGATCAAATATACATCAATGTAGGAGTTTTTCCTGTTTTGATAAGTTGTTTTTATTATTGGATGTTCACAGAAGCTTAATTTCAAAATTGGGAATATAAATAAAACACAATTAATACTAGAGATTTTTTTTATGAAGATGTTCATAAGTATTGGTGGTAGTGAGGTGAAAAGAGCTTTTATTTTTTTAATTTATTTAATAGTTTATTGTCAAGTTGGTTTCCATATAACACCAAGTGCTCATCCCCACACGTGCCCTCCTCCATGCCCATCTCCCCCCTCCCCTCCCCCACAACCCCATCAGTCCTCGGCTCGTTGGACTAGGGGTATGATTCTCGCTTAGGAAAAAATTCATTAAAAGTTCATTTAAAATAACTTTTTTTTACTGGATTCTTTGTTTTCCAAATGTGGAGTTTGGTGAGTACCTTATACATTTTGGATTCTAGCCTTTTATCCGATATGTCATTTGCAATTATCTTTTCCATTCCATCAGTTGTCTATTAGTCTTATGGATTGTTTCCTTTGCCGTGCAGAAGCTCTTTTTTTTTTTTTAAATTCTATCTTTCTTCTTTTTTTCTTAAATAGTTTATTGTCAAGTTGGTTTACATATAACACCCAATGCTGATCCAAACAAGTGCACTCCTCAATGCCCATCACCCCCCTTCCTCTCTCCCCCACTCCTATCAGCCCTTAGTTTGTTCTCAGCATTCAGGAGGCTCTCATGGTTTGCCTCCCTCTTTCTCCTCAACTATTTTTCTTTTAGATCCCTAATCATCCTCCGCTAATTCCTCCTCATCCACCTATACGTGCAAACATATGGTATTTGTTCTTCTCTGCCTGACTTATTTCGCTCAGCATAACGCCCTCTAGTTCCATCCATGTTGCTACAAATGGTCAGATTTCATTCTTTCTCATTGCCATGTAGTATTCCATTATATAAATATACCACATCTTCTTGACCCATTCATCAGTTGATGGACACTCCGGTTCTTTCCGTGTTTTGACTATTGTTGTGAGTGCTGCTATGAACATTGGGATACATGTGCCCCTATGCATCAGCATCCTGTATCACTTGAATAAATTCCTAGCAGTGCTACTGCTGGGTTATAGGGGAGTTCTATTATTCATTTTTTGAGAATTCCATACTGTCTTCGAGAGGGGTTGCAACAGACTACATTCCCACCAACACTATAGGAGGGTGCCCAATCCTCCACATCCTCGATAGCATCTAGAGTTTCCTGATTTATTCATTTTAGCCACTTTGACCGCCATGGGGTGGTATCTTAGTGTGGTTTTGATTTGTATTTCTCTGATGAGAAGGGATGCTGAGCATCATTTCGTGTGACTGCGGGTCATCCTGATGTCCTCTTTGGAGAAGTGTCTGTGCATGTCATCTGTCCATTACTTCACTGGATTATTTGTTTTTCTGGGTGTGCAGTTTGATGAGTTCCATATAGATGGAGGATACTAGCCCTTTATCTGATATGTCATCTGCAACTGATTTTTCCCATTCTGTCAGTTGCCTATTCGTTGTATGGATTGTTTCCTTTCCCCTACAGAAACTTTTTTTTTTTAATCTTCATAAGGTGTCAGTAGTTCATTTTTATCTTGATTCCCTTGCCTTGGGGATGTAAAGTAAGAAATTCCTGTGGTTGAGGTCAGTGAGGTTTTTTTCCCACTTTCCCATGTAGGGGTTGATGCTTTCCAGGTCAAATGCAGGTCCTTTGTCCATTTGAGGTTTTTCTTTCTTTTTTTTTTTTTGTATGGTGTGAGAAAATGATCTAGCTTCATTCTTCTGTATGTTGCTGTTCCGTTCTCCCAGCATCATCTGTGAAAGAGGTTGTCTTTTTTCCATTGGATACTCTTTACCGCTTTGTCAAAGATTAGTTGGCCATACATTTGTGGGTCTAATTCTGAGTTCTCTATTCTATTCCATAGGTCTACGAGTCTATTTTGTGCCAATACCATACTGTCTTGATGATGACAGCTTTGTAGTAGAGGCTACAGCCTGGGATGGTGATGCCTCCCGTTTTGGTTTTCTACTTCATATTACTTTGGCTATTCGGGGTCTTTAGTGGTTCCCTACAAATGTTAGGATAGTTTGTTCTAGTTTCGTGAAGAATGCTGGTCAATTTTGATTGGGATTCCATTGAATGAGTAATTGCTTTGGGTAGTAATGATATTTTAACTATATTTATTCTTCCAATCCATGAGCATGGAATGTTTTTCCAATTCTTTGTGTCTTCTCCAATTACCTTAATAAGTTTTCGATAGTTTTCATCATACAGATCTTTTATATCCTAGGTAAGGTTTCTTCCTTGGTATTTTACGGGTTTTTTGTGCAATTATGAATGGTATCAATTTCTTGATTTCTCTTTCTGTTGCTTCATTGTTGGTGTATAGAAGTGCAACTGATATCAGCACGTTGACTTTGTAATCTACAACTTTGCTGAATTCTTGGATCAGTTCTAGTAGGCTTCTGGTGGAGTCTGTCGGATTTTCGATGTAAAGTATCATGTCGTCTGTGAAAAGTGAAAGTTTTACTTCTTCTTTGCTAATTCCGATGCCCTTTATTTCCTTTTGTTGTCCGATAGCTGATGCTAGGACTTCCAGCACTATGTTAAACAGCAGTGGTGAGAGTGGACATCCCTGTCGTGTTCCTGATCTCAGGGGGAAAGCTCTCAGTTTTTCCCCGTTGAGGATGATGTTTGCTGAGGGCTTCTCATAGATGGCTTTTATGATGTAAGTAAGTTCCTTCTATCCCAACTTTGTCGAGGGTCTTTATGAAGAAGGGATCCTGTATTTTGTGAAATGCTTTTTCTGTGTCTATCGACAGAATAATATGGTTTTTATCTTTTCTTTTGTTGATGTGATATATCACATTGATTGAGTTGCGAATGATGAACCAGCCCTGTAACCCAGGAATGAGTCCCGCTTGATCTTGGTGGATATTTCTTTTAGTGTGCTATTGAATTCAATTTGCAAGTATCTTGTTGAGGATTTTTGCATCTGTATTCACCAAGGATATTGGCCTTTAGTTCTCCTTTTTTGCTGGGTCTCTGTGTGACTTGGGAATCAAAGTGATGCCGGCTTCATAAAATAAGTCTGGAAGTTGTCCATTGATTTCTATTTTTTGGAATAGTTTGAGAATGGATGTTAATCTGTTTTAAATGTCTGGTAGAATTCCCCAGGGAATCCATCTGGCCCAGGACTCTCATTTGCTGGGAGATGTTTGAGGACTGATTCAATTTCCTAACTTGTTATGTGTCTGTTGAGGTTTTCTATCTCTTACCATGTCAATAAGTCACTGAGTGTGTGTTTAGGAATTTGTCCGTTTTTTCTAAGTTGAGCACTTTGTCGTCATGTAGTTTTTTATGGTATTCCCTGATGATTGCTTATATTTCTGAGGGTTTGGTTGTAATCAGTCCATTTACATTCATTATTTTGTCTATGCGAGTGCCTTTTCTTTAGTTTGCGAAGCTTGGATAGAGGTTTGTCAATTTTGTTTATTTTTTCAAAAAAACAACTCTTGGTTTCATGGGTCTGTTCAACTGTTTCTTTGGTTTCTATATTGTTTATTTCTGCCCTGAGTTTTATTATTTCTCTTCTTCTACTGGCTTTTCGGTGTCTTGTTGTTATCCCTCCAATTGCTTTAGGTGCCCTTTAGATTTTGCACTTTGGCTTTTTCTAATTTCTTTAAATAGGCCTGGAGTGCAATGTACTTTCTTCTTAGGACTACTTTCCCCGCATCCCATAGAGTTTGGATTGTTGGATTCTCATTTTCCTTTGTTTTCATATAATTTTAAATTTCTTCTCTAATTGCCTGATTGGACCATTCATTCTTTAGTAGTGTGTTTTTGAACTTCCATTTTTTTGGAGGTTTTCCAGACTTCTTCCTCTGATTGATTTCAAGTTTCATAGCATTGTGATCTGAAAGTATGCATGGTATGATCTCAATTCTTTTATATTTATTTAGGTTACTTTATGACCCAGTATGTGTTCTATCTTGGAGAATGTGACATGCGTACTTGAGAGGAAAATGAATTTCATGGCCTAGGGATGTCGAGTTCTAAGTACATCTGTCAAATCCATCTGGTCCCATGTGTCATTTATGTCCATTGTGTCTTTCTTGACTTTCTGTCTAGTTGAACTGTCCATTGCTGTAAGTGGAGTATAAAGTCCCCTGCTATTAGCACGTTCTTATTGATAAGAGTGTTTCTGTTGTGATTAACTGTTTTATGGTTTTAGGTGCTCCCATACTTGGTGCGTAGACATTTATAATTGTTAGTCTTTCTGATCGACAGACCCTTTAATTATTATATAATTCCCTTCTTCATCCATGGTTACTGTCTAATGTCCAGTTTGTCTGATATAAATATAGCTACTCCAGCTTTTTTTTGACTTCCAGTAGCATGATACATGTTTCTCCATGCCCTTACTTTCAATCTGAAGGTGTCCTCCAGTCTAAAATGAGTTTCTTGTAGACAGCAAATAGATGGATTTTGTTTTTTTTCTCCATTTTGCTACCTTACGTTTTTGATTGGAGAATTTAATCTACTTACATTCAGTGTTATTGTTGAAAAATACGGGTTTAGAGTCATCGTGTTCTTTGTGGGGTTTTTGCTTGTGATGGTGTTTCTGGTATCTTGCGTTCCTTTCAACATTTCCCTCAGAGACTCCCCCTAAGGATTTCTTGTAGAGCTGGTTTAGTGGTGATTAATTCTTTCATTTTTGTTTATTTGGGAAGACTTTAACCTCTCCTTCTATTCTGAATGACAGGCTTGCTGGGTAGAGGATTCTTGGCTGCATATTTTTTTATGTTCATCACATTGAAGATTTCCTGCCATTCCTTTCTGGCCTGCCAAGTTTCAGTAGATACGTCTGTCACCACTCTGATAGGTTTCCCTTTGTGTGTTAGGGCCCTTTTCTCCCTAGCTGCTTTCAAAAATCTCTCTTTGTCCTTATATTTTACCAGTTTCACTATGATACGTCGTGCAGAAGATGGATTCAAGTTACATCTGAGGGGAGTTCTTTGTGTCTCTTGAATTTCAACGTCTACTTCCTTCCCCAGGTTGCAGAAGTGCTCTGCTATAATTCATTCCAGGACTCCTTCAGCACCTTTCCCTCTCTCTTCCTCTTCTGGGATTCCTATAATAGGGAAATTGTTCCGTTTGATTGTATCACTGAGCTCCCGACCTCTTCTTTCATGTTCCTGGATCAGTTTTTTTCTCATTTTCTCAGTTCCTTCTTTTTCTATAATTGTGTCTTCTGAATCACTTATTCTCCTTTCTGCCTCTTCAGTCCATACTTTACACCTCCAGTTTATTATGTATCTCATTTATCACATTTTCAAATTCATCATAACTCTTTTTAAGCTCCATCGTGTTTGTAGCCATAGTTTCTCTGATGTCCTCCATGCTTTTCTCAAGCCGAGCGATTAATTTGATGAGTTTTATGATTATTGTTCTAAATTCTTATTCAGTTATTTTGCTTATATTATATTTGCTTATATCTCTTTGGAGCAGTTCTTTAGCTGTTCATTCTTCCTGGAATTTCTCTGGAGGAGAGCTCTTTCGTATCATCATTTTGGTTAGCTTTCTATCCCTTGTTAGATAAGGATAGACTTGAAATAAGTCAGGCAGAGAAGGACAAATATCATATGTTTGCACGTATAGGAGGATTAGGAGGAACTTGACGGAGGAACAAGGGAGAGAAGAAGGGCGGAAATGGTGGGGGAAAGGGAGAGAGGCAAACCATGAGAGATTCTTGAATGTTGACAAAAACTAGGGACTGATGGATGTGGGGGGGAGGGGGGATGGGCATGGAGGAGGGCACTTTGGGGATGAGCACTGAGTATTATGTGGAAACTAATTTGACAATAAACTATTAACTATTTGTAAAAAAAATTAAAAAAAATTAAAAAAAGTTATCTGTAAATAATTCATTTCTAGTGGCAAGGATTAATCTAGTGCCAACACCTCTGTCTTCTGTGCATGTTCGTATACGTTTCCTATTCCAAGTATGTCATTCAGAGACTGAAAGTTAAGCACAAAATCATGTGTCCATAAGGACTCCCTGGGGGAAAGTACTCTATGGGGAGGAAGCCCCAGACCCTGACAGGAAACCTGCCTGTAACCTCCATCGCTCCCTGCTCCTGGGAATATAAACCAGAGCTGTGCATAGTGTGCACCCCCTGGTGGTGCTGATCCCATTCTCCAGGGAGGTTAGTGTCTGAGCTCACCCTGATGATTCCTCACTGTGTCTCTCGCACAGAAATACGTGGCCGTGTCTTCGACTCTCAGGTTGTTCATCTGTAGATCCACTGTGTTCTTGGCGTTGTCTATGGAGATGGTGAACCGGCCCTTCACGGAGTCTGCGTAGTATGTGCTTCCACTACTATAAATGTATGCAACCCACTCCAGCCCCTTCCCTGGAGCCTGGCGGACCCAGCTCATGCCGTAGCTACTGAAGGTGAATCCGGAGGCTGCACAGGAGAGTCTCAGGGACCCTCCAGGCTTCACCAGACCTCCACCAGACTCCACCAGCTGCACCTCACACTGGACACCTGTAGACAGAAGACATTCTGGTCAGGAAACTGTCACACATCTAGCGTTTTTCTCACTCACATCCATTCACACACTCAGTGTCTCTTGTTCACCTTGAATTACCTTTTAAAACAGCAACAAAGAAAGCCCAGAGAAGCATAAACTCCATGGTGAGATGTCTGTGTTCTGTCCTGATCACAGAATGGGAACACCTGGGACTCCCGGGGCTGGAGCTCCTCTCCCAGCTGCAGGGTCAGGGCTGGGCCGGTTTAATCAGCACAGGGCAGGTCTGATTTGCATGTCCTCTGCGTATATAAGCAGCTATGTATTCAGTTATACAAAGAGTGCATTGATCTGAGCAGATGTAAATCTCTTTATTTTGGTGTATTGACCGTTTTTGGATAAATAAAAGTTGTTATCACTTTCTAGAGATCACACTTTTGCTTCATGTGTTACTTTGGTTTTACATTTGCACACTACTCGTGGGATATAGCTGTCATCATATCCTATAAGGAGATGTGAACCTACAAGCAAGTTGTAGAGGGTGGTGGGGTGTCCAAGTGCACGTATGTGGTGAGAGTGAGCCCAGGATCTGGGCCGGTGCTCCTCCCTACAGGACCTACGACCTCCCTCAGTCCACCTGCAGGCCTGAGCAGGCGGGCTCCTGAGGAATGTGGAACACTTTCTGTAATGTGTCCATGATGATTTTCCTTGCTCTGGAGTTGACCTTAAATAGAGAGAGAATAAGGGCCAGTGCAGGTAAATTTTAAGTCTTTAACATGTCACTATCATTGTGTTCCTACTGAGTAATCTCTGTGTTTATTTGTAAGAGCTTTGATGAAGGTACCTGACATAGAGTGAGGTGCACATGCAGAGTGTGTGTTATGACAGACCACTGATGTGAGTCAACATGATCAGACTGAACACATAATTCCCATTAAATTCTCTCATAGTTCCCCCTGAATTCTTCCTTCCTAGTTCCTTTCTTCACCCTGTCCCCACAGAACTATTAATCGTTCTCATATTTCTTCAGGTTGGTTCTGGTGTTATAGAATGTGTACGTGTGTAATTATATTATATGAACTTTTATTTGTAGGGCTTATTTTGCTCAGCATAAATCCTTGTCTATACAACCATGTTTTTGTTTGTACCAAGAGTCATTGGTTTTAAAGATTGGCAGCTCTGAAGAATTAATGTCACCAGTGTTTGTTTTAAGTGGCTTTATTTTACCAGAATTGCTCTCAGTGTCTGGTATTTCAATAAATTTTTTTCTCAGCCTTGAGAGGTAGATGTGAAGTTTCGAGAATGTATGATTTATATGGTTTCCACAACAAGCAACCAGAAGCAGAGGCAGAGGATTAAATATACATTAATGCAGGAGTTTTTCCTGTTCTGTTAAGTTGTTTTTATTATTAGATATTCATAGAAGCTTAATTTAAAATTTTGGAATATAAATAAAACACAATTAAGACTAGAGATTTTTTATGAAGATGTTCATAAGTATTTGGGGTAGTGAGGTGAAGAAATTTTTTTAAATTTTATTTAAAATAACTTTTTTACTGGATTGCTTGTTTTTGGGTGTGGATTTGGTGAGTTCCTTATAGATTTGGATATTAGCCCTTTCTCTGATATGTCATTTGCAACTACTTTTTCCATTCCATCTATTGTCTTTTAGACTTATGCATTGTTTCCTTTGCCATGAAGAAGCTTTTTTCCCCCCTCCTTTGATTCTACCATTGTTCTTTTTTTTTCACAAATAATTATTGTCAAGTTGGTTTGCATATAACATCCAGTGCTCATCTCAACATGTATCCTCCTCCATGCTCATCACCCCCCTTCCCCCTTCCCCTCTTCCCGACCCCCATCAGCCCTCAGCTTGTTCTTGGCATTCAAGACTCTCTCATGGTTTGCTTCCCTCCCACTCCCCCACTTTCCCCCCCTTCTTCTCACCCATGGTCCTCCGTTAAGTTCCTCATAAATCTCTTACATGTGCAAACCTATGGTAGTGGTCCTTCTCTTCCTGACTTATTTCACTCAGTATAACAACCTCAAGGTCCATCCATGTTGCTACACATGACCAGATTTCATTCTTTCTCATTGCCACGTAGGATTCCATTGTATAGATAAAACACATCTTGAACCATTCGTCCTTTGATGGACACTTAGGCTCTTTCCATGTTTTGGCTCTTGTTGAGAGTGCTGCTATGAACCCTGGGTCACATGTGCCCCTATGCATCAGCACTCCTGTATACCTTGGGTAAATTCCTAGCAGTACTATTGCTTGGCCATAGGGGAGTTCTATTGTTAATTTTTTGAGGAACCTCCACACTGTTTTCCAGAGGGGCTGAACCAGTTTACATTTCCACCTAGAGTGTAGGAAGGTGCCCATTTCTCCACATCCTCGCCAGCATCCAGAGTCCTCTGATTCACTCATTTTAGCATTTTGACTGGCGTGAGGTGATCTCTCTGTGTGGTTTTCATTTGTATTTCCCTGATAAGGAGGGATGGTGAACATCATTTCATGTGTCTGTTGGCCATCTGGATGTCCTCTTTGGAGAAGTGTCTGTTCGTATCTACTGCCCAGGTCGTCACTGGATTGTTTTTCGGGTGGAGTTTGGTGAATTCCTTATATATTTTGGATATTAACCCTTTATCTGATATGGCATTTGCAACTATCTTTTTCCATTCTGTCAGTTGCCTATCAGTTTTATGGATCGTTTCCTTTGCCATGCTGAGGCTTTTAATCTTGATGACGTCCCAATAGTTCATTTTTGCTCTTGATTCCCTTGCATTTGGGGATGTGTCAATTAAGAAGTTGCTGTGGTTGAGGTCGAGGAGGTTGTTTCCTGCTTTGTCCTTTAGGGTTTTGATGGTTTCCTGTCTCACATTCAGGTCTTTTATCCATTTTGAGTTTATTTTTGTGTTTGGTGTGAGAAAATGATCTAGTTTCATTCTTCTGCATGTTACTGTCCAGTTCTCCCGTCACCATCTCTTAAGGAGGCTCGTGAAGTCGGGATAGAAGGAACTTACTTAATCATAAAAAAAAAAAAAAGCCATCTAAGAGAAGCCCTCACTTAACATCATCCTCAATGGGGAAAAACTGAGAGCTTTCCCCCTGAGATCAGGAACACGACAGGGATGTCCTCTCTCACCAATGTTGCTTAACATAGTGCTGGAAGTCCTAGCATCAGCCATCAGACAACAAAAGGAAATAAAAGGCATCAGAATTGGCAAAGAAGTCAAACATTCACTTTTCGCAGATGACGTGATACTCCACATAGAAAACCCTCCAGAGTCCTCTAGAAGCCTACCAGAACTGATCCAAGAATTCAGCAAAGTTGAAGGTTACAAAATCAAAGTACAGAAGTCAGTTGCATATTTATCTATCAACAATGAAGGAATAGAAAGAGAAATCAAGAAACTGATCCCATTCACAATTGCACAAAGAACCATAAAATGCCGAGTAATCAACCTAACTAAGTATATAAGAAATCTGTATGATGAAAACTATAGGAAATTTGTGAAAGAAATTGAAGAAGACCCAAAGAAATGGAAAAACATTCCATGCTCATGGATTACAAGAAGAAACAGATTAAAATGTCATTACTATCCGAAGAAATTTACACATTCAATGCAATCCCAATCAAGATTGCCCAGCATACTTCTCAAACTAGAACAAACTCTTCTAAAATTTTTGTGGAATACAAAAGACCCCGAATAGCCAAAGTAATATCGAAGAAGAAAACCAAAACGGGAGGCATCACCATCCCAGACCTTAGCCTCTACTACAAAGCTGTCATCATCAAGGCAGTTTGGTATTGGCACAAAAACAGACACATAGAACAATGGAGTAGAACTGAAAACTCAGAATTGGACCAAAGTATACAGCCAACTAATCTTTGACAAAGTAGGAAAAAGTATCTAATGTTCATACTGTTTCGAGAGATTCTTTAGCTCTCACTTCTACCTGGAATTTTTTTTTTTTTTTTGAGGAGGATTCTTCCATTTCTTCATTTTGTCTAGTTTTCTGTCCCTTGTGTTTTAAAAGCTTGTTATGTGTCCTATATCTTCGAGCACTTCTATATCAAAAAGGGATCATACACTGCCCAGGGCCTGGCCATTCTGGAGGTGTTTTTTGTAGAGTGTTACTTGCTCTTTGTTGTTTTGACTTTGGTTACTTTTTCTCCCTACTTGTATTAATCTTGGAATCTTCCGCTAGGTGTTTTTTTATTTGTTCCTTGAAGTAGCTCTGGAAAGGGAAACAAACAAACAAAAAAATAGTAAACAAATAAAAGAAGTGTTTCACAAACAAACAAACAAAACCAAAAACCAACCAACCAAACAAACAAAACAACAACCCAGAAACACCAGCTACAGATAAACAAAAGGATGGAGGTGATGCTGATGGTAAAGGCCTTATCCCATACATAGAGATAAATGACAGGGACAGGGCAAAAGGAAAGAAATTAAAAATTGAGCAGACAGAGAAACTCTACAGCTTAACCCATTGAAAGAGAGAAAGGAAAATAAAGAAGGAGATGGGAAAATAATACAATACAATACAATAGAGTAAAATACATCAGACAAAGACACTATATGACTTATTCCAGAGACAGAGAAAGGAAAATAAAGAAGGAGGTATAGAAAATCTATCAAGAGAATAGATTAAATATGTCTGCTTAAGAAACCAACAACCAGAGTAACCAAAGGAGGAGGAACTGTCTAGTTTTTCAGTCAACCCGGCTCTTGTAGATATGCAGTTACTAGGTGTGAAAGGGTGTGATTTGGTGTAGGCGGGTCCTGACTCCATTGCGGGCCTGCTGTCTTTTCCGTGAAGCCCCACCTTGTTGGCAATGGGGAGAAAAATGGTGACACCCCAGTCTCTCGTCCATGGACCAGGTGTCCCAAACCACTCTGTTCAAGCCGTCCTCACTGTGCCATGGGTGCAAACGAGGTGGTTTCTCCCACTCCACCGACTCCCTTGCCTCCTTCCCCCTTGGCTGCATTTAAACCCTGGTGTCTTAAAGATTTCCACTCCGTGTCCCGTTTCTGGAGAAGAGCTGCCCCGCCGCCTCACTGCGCTGTGCCTGCGGTTTGTCTTGCTCAGCGAACTCACAAGCCACCTTGGCACTCAGCTAGAACTTAATCCCCTATGTCTTTAAGGTTTCCACTCTGTGTACCTCA